GGCCCAGGAGCTCCGCTTTTAGGCTTTGCTGAATCTATATATTATCTTTAGCTTTTAGACAAGGCAAAAAGGACTGTAATATTCTTAAAATTATTCTGCTGCAAGGTTGTTAACTAAAAACTGAAATTGTTGGGTTTCCCTTTCGGATTACGTCTTAAATTTATAGTTATCAAAATTAGTCTCTTGACTTTTTCAGGGAGCAGCCACTAGGTTTGCCGTCAACAAGCGATGCACGATCAGATCAGTTCCTGAGGAACGTTTTTTTACTCAAGAATGGTGATTTTGAAATAATCAATGGCCAAGTACACATGCCAACTAAAAGTGAAATAGCTACAATAAGGGCCAGGACAGAACAATACAAAAGGGGCGTAGAATTTAATGCAAGCATGTCTTCCGACATGGTAAAGAAGAAACTGGAAGAAACGTTTCCCTACTTAAAAAACAAGGGGTAAGGCAAACTTTTAGATATTGTTCATTGAAGTTCCGAGATCCTTTCTTTACATGGATATTCGTCTTAAGAGCAAGTACACCCAGCAACACCTGCTATAGAAAATGCCTCACATTTGATCGAGGAATGAAAAAGAAAAACCTCTGGCAGCAATCCAACTCAGTGAAGAAATGTAAACAAAAGGATTGGAAGGGCATTTTTCTGTTTTCCTGCAAATTTTACTGAGGGCAGCTTTATTTAACGAGACAAAACTTTGATGAACAAAAATTATCGTATTAATCCAGTACCCAAATTTACGAGTTGCTCAGCTGTATTTCCGAAACGTCAACTCGAAACTTTTATCCCTCTGAAACAGATGTCAGTTTTTCTTTACATTTTTATGTATCATGGGAGCAGTCGGTTTCTCTCTTGTTTGGGGAAGGAAAATCCAACTGCGTGTCGAGGAGGTTCCAAAACGATGAAGTGAGCGGTGGTCCATTTCAATTTGTGTCCCTTTAATTAGTTTCTGAATTTAGGACCTCCATTTCACTTTCTGAAACACAAAATAGGTAAAGAAAGTGTCTATTCGCAATAGTTTGAAGTAATGATGATTCACGGGAATGAATTCTACATTATTTACCTTTACAAGCCAAGCAAACTGATTTAAACTGACGAAACAGCGCTAGTGTCGTCAATTGTTAGCTTAAAAATGTGGATATAGCTGGAGCTAATAAGAGGTGCCCATGTGTTTCTTTTTTGTAGATTTATTTGTGCGGCAAAAAGAAATGTGAACAATGATACAGCACGGTTTGACTTCGACGGATCACCCAGTGGGTGGAATGGAAGTACCATCAGGAAAAAAATTCAAGGCAATTCTGCCCTCTATATTCTGGAGAATGATCAGGTATGAATGAATTAGGTTCATTTATTACATGTCGTAGATATAGTGGGCGCGCTATGATTGGGTCCATTTACGGGCCTTATTTTACGGAAAGGCCCGCTTCTGCACATTTGATTGAAATGTTTGCCTTTCCTCATGCCTAGACTGAGAGATAACATTTTATTAACCTTGTATTCATTGTCCGTATTGTTAGAATACGGGTTAGATCTAACGCGTACGCTCTTCGCACTACTGCCACTAGGCAGAAAATCTCGCGAACCATGTCTAACAGCACGGATCTGGAACTCAATTATAAAGGACTATTTAGGTAAATTTGGACTGTTAATCTTCTTTTGAAGTTTAGTAAACTCATGAATGAGTCGGGAATTTGCCTGCAATTGTTTTACTTGGTTTGGACCTTGGATTTGGAATCCAGAGGTCCCGAATTCAACTCCCCGAGAACACAGCAGTGCTTAATACCATGGCAAGTGATTTATTTATTTTATTTGAACATATAGATGGACACGTCTAGTGGAATATCTGCAGGCGATTCTGACTCTTCACAAGGTTAGCACAATTCACCTTGACTGTGATGTAGAATAAGCCCTTTAACGGGAATTTAGACGTGTATTTGTTTTTATAAGGTATTATAAAATAAGACTCTAATGTATCAAAATCCCTTTTAGCACTCTCAGCATCCTTATTCCATTTTACGAACGCGAATTGGACCTTTAGAATACATATAATAAACAAAACATTACATGGTCGCTTTGGGGTCTTGTAATATCCAGTATTTCTTGTCCCACGAAAGTAGCCTTAGCCATAGGTATTCTCATATATATCTGACTGGAAAAGAAGCAGAGAACCATGTAGAACGTCGAGAACCCGGGGGATGGCTCAACCCTACCGTTAAGGTCTGTGATGGCGATAAAATGGAATAAAAAAAGCGTTTGGAATATAGTGTCAATAAACCCAGGATCAAAGTGACGGTGAGCTACTACTTCTGCATTGTAGGCATGTGCTTTCTGTAAGATAACCATTTCTAGAAACAGCTAAATGTACAGCCTTGAAATGCTTAGATGTAGAACTTCATCAAAATAACTCTTTTTGAGTACAAAATTCAATCCAGGAATAATCTACAGACCTCAGTGGTTTCTAAATAATTCTAAGAACAATCTTAATGACAGATTGAAATCTGTTTGACTGTCAGTTAATGTTGCTGTTATCGCTGATGTTCACACTTGTAACTGATGATGATGATGATGATGATAACAACGACGATCTTAATGACGATGGTGGCGTTGAAATTTAAATGAATCATTTGTTGTAAACGTGGAGCTTCTTAGCATTGAGCATGTAGATTTGAACAGTCCTTATGTCTCATCTTATTTGCACTATGTTACAGATGACGCAGAGATGATTTCGATGATATCATGGTTACGGAATAACCTTCATTTTGACGTTGAATGTAATCCAAATTACAGTCCTTTGCAGGTATATTTTTCTTGCCTAACCAAGACTATCAGCGATGATAGACTAACAACCCTTGCTTTTTACAAATGCAATGTTAGTTGTCTTGTAGCTTACGTCTTGTGTCGCACGATACCGTTCTGACATTGTGATAAAATGATAGTGCAAGAACATGCCGTTCTTAAGAGGCTTAAGTCCAGCTTCGTTGAATGATCTAGACCCGTGATGTGTGGTTTCTTGTCGACTTTCACTCTTTGATAATAAAGGTTTAGTAAAATTACTGTTAAATCAAGGTGCTAGAAAGTTAAATGGGTAATATTTCAATCTTACCTTTTTTCTCTATGCCCACAGGGAGGAGGTCCTTGCGTTTTTACCTTTACCCCTCAGCTCCACTCAGAAGTAACATCAGTTTATGCTACGTTTGAAGGGCTAGGCACTCAAGAACTCGAGGTTTCGAAGTTCGGTTTCTTCCCAGGTTTGTAAACGTTTAAGAAATACTTTCTACCGAGTTATAGGATCACGATACAGCCAGCAGTCATTTAGTGGAGATAGTGACATCATTTACATGTAATTTGCACTCTTCTCGTCTGTTAGACTTTGTGCACTTTTACTTAGTATAGGTAATCATACGGTTTGGAGTTCAATTTGGAATTAATTTGCACGAGTGAGTTTTTCAAAAAGCTGAAATTGCACAAGCCGCTTCGGCGAGTGCAATTTCAGCTTTTTGAAAAACTCTTAAGTGCAAATTATTTCCGAATTGAACGAGAAAAACCGTATTACTTATTAATAATATAAACATGACCAAATTTGCGTGGTTTCAAGTATATTATTATGTATAAAATCAGACGTCGAACAGTCCGGATTTCTGATAAGAGTGTAAATCACGATTTAAAAAACTGGAGAAAGAACAAAGATGCATCATCAAGATCCTCAGATCAGTTTGGTTTTTACCATTTATTTCATTCGGTGATTATTTGCTAAATTTCATGCGACCAAAGTATCATAATTTAGCAAGTGATAAGTTTCCAAAAAGCTGTTGTGTTTGCCTTGACAGGTAAGTAAAACAGTTTATAAAAGAAAATTAATTGCCGCAAATTTAGCAAAGCTGAAGTTTCGAGCGTCACCTCTTCGTCGGTGCTGAAATTTGTATCTTTCTTACTTTCATTAATTTTTTGTTGCTGTCACTGGAAAAGTTGAAAATTTACAGAGTATGTAAATAACATGTAATTAACATGTAAATAATCAAAAAAAGACTGTAAAGAATAATTTACATGATTTTCCCCCTTTTACATGTTTGGAGGTTTCATGTAAATAACATGTAAATATTTTAAGTGAAACATGTAAATGATGAAGAAAGCAAAGGGCTAAGATCATGTAAATAAAATGTAAACTGTTCCTGCAAACACTGTAAATAGCCTGTAAATTTCTTGTGATTCAACCTGGAAACCCGTAAATAACATGTAAATTTAATACA